GAGTTTTGAATGTTCAGAAACACTTATGAAGAAGTGAATTGGGAAACAAGTGAGGGAGAGAGCATTTTGAAAACAAACTAAAATTACTCCCACTCAAAGGCTTGGACAAGTTATATTTAAGACCAGAAAGTGATTATGTGCTATATTGTGTGAAAGATAATGAGCTATAGTTAAGCACTTCCCTTCTAAAGCCTTAATAACTTCAGACACTCATAATACTGCCAATGAAGTCAAATAAGACTTAAATAAGTATAATTTTGCTTGGATGGTGCTATGCTCATCTTTGGTGGGAATTGTACCTAGGGATATTTAGTTTTTAATATTTTATGAAGTTTACCAAGTGACTTGTGGGAAGGAAAGAGCAAGCAGGAGTGAAACATATCCACAAGAATATGTATCAATATTCACTATACTTTTTAAATATACAATGTATTCATTATATTTTCCAAAGGAAAGAAGTGGAATGAGCCTGTGTAGCAAAGTGGGCAGAATACAGGAATAAAAGGGAGGGTTTTGCTTTCAAAATGTTCATGGTCCAAACCACACTTGCTACTCTCCTGCCCATAATATATTTGGAAGAACAGATCTAAAGATCCCTAAACACACTGCTCCTTGTTAGAAAGGATTGATTTGGAAGAGTAGCAAGCCTCTTAGCAAGTTCATTAATTTTGTCTTGATCATCATTCTGTATGTAAAGGTTGCCTAATAGATACCTGGGGAAGGTATGCCAATACTATGACTGTTGCTCATCTGACATGCATATTTTCATTTGCATAGAAAGAATATTAACCTGCAATATTACATATTATAAATAAGCTTATCCCGTAGCCTTTAAAAATCTGTATTAATATTATGTTAATGTTTCTTGTTCTCAGAGACTATAGCGGTAAATTTGATCTCTCAAGCTCTGAGGTGTAAACAGTGGAGGCACTTAAAACCTCAAGTTTACATAAAGATTAATGCTGAAGTATGCTGTTTTCTTGCTTTTAATAGAAAGGCTGCTAACTCCCAGTACTGTATGGAGCTTCTCAAATAAAACAAAATCTAATATACCAAATACATTTTATATGAAACAAACTTTTTGTGAAGATAAAAAGTTTTTAACAATATTATGGTTACAATCCTGTGTTTCCTAGGGATGTATCCTAAGCTCCATAGGACAGTTCAGATATCTTTTTCTTAGGATAAGGAGAGAATTCCACCCACGAAGAAAGAGATTCCATCTTAGATGACCCCAGGATGCAAAGCCATCCCAATTCCCACACATGCTATAGCATAGGGGAAACGTATGCCAGGGCTGCTATTTCCATGTTAGTAGTTACAAGAGAATTGTTAAAACAAAACCAAACAGAACAGGAACAGGAGGAAAGGAAAGGAAACTCTTCTCCTCACTTCTTTGTGCCCAGAAGGTACAAATCTGGGAGAACTTTGGATGAGGCTGTTTGTTCACCATTAGAGATTCCTGCCACTTTTATTCAACAGATCGAAGATCTATAGAGGTATATATCTATTATACTTAGGAGATATTTAGTTCCAGTCAAATATACTATACCTGTAGTTTGATTAGGACACTTAGTTAGTACCTCTGGTGCTCTGAATCCAGGAGTTCCAGCCCTTGGGGCAACCTGCTGGCGCCTTGGGGTTAAAATGAAAAAACACATTTAGGAAGTAATTGCACACAAATTGAATTTTTCATGGCCAGCCAGTAAAGCAATCTCCTAAGAAATGCTTTTTATGGTGGTATTACTGAACATTCAGCAAGTTAATAGACCCAAGTTCTTTGGCAGCAATCCTTCTTTTCAGCTCAGGATTACAGTCATTCCTTCACCTCCTTGTAGCCTCAGTGATAACTTCTTCAGCTCCGCCAATATTATACTCACAGATCAGATTTAGATTGAGAGAATTAACATTGCACAGGTTTTTCACTTCTAGCTACAGTACCATGATTATGAGGAGCCTGTTTATGTAAACTGATCCTATTCAACAGATATCAAATGTCAAACAATCACAGCACAAAACACTGAAAGTGTTATTTATTCTACTACTGTATGTCACTAGCTGGATAATTATCATTTCATGGAACCTAAGCTAGTTTGCAGACCAAGCATAACAACTGACAACCTGAACCTAAATATCAGTGCTAATACAATGTGCCTAAAACACCATTAACGTTGATATAATGCTGACATAGTCTTCTGGTTTCAGATATTATGCAGGCACTTTAATGGATTAGAATTTAAACAGGGTCAAGTGATTTTGTGTAGCTTGAACAGAAAAATATTGACAGTGTTACAATCAAAACTTTCCACATAAAACATTTAAACAAATGTTTAGTCAGAATTGTGAGTGCTGAGAACATCAATATGGAAAGTTTACACCTGTGTGAAATAGTTTGCACAAAATTAGTTTTTGATACATTGTATTGAATAGGTTTAACATACCTAAAACTTCTAAATCCTAAAACTTGTGTCACATTAATTAATGTCTTTAAGAGCCTTTGACAGCACAGGGATTGGTTTTACTGCATCAAAGCTACTTACCTTGAAAGACAAACACTGCAGACTCTATCTTTTGCATAACAGTCACAAGTCAAATTAGCTGGACAACTGCTGGCAGCCTTCCTGGCTAAGCCATTATTCACAGCTGAAGTTGTCTTCTTCTTCACTGTTAATTTTCTAGATGCAATATCTGCCACCCTGGACTGCTTTATGAGCTGCAATGTACATTATATTTTTGATACAAGGGATATTTAAAAACAACTTTGACTCTAGTTACTCTCAAAGAAGTAAAAGTTGTATTAAGCACATTTATAAAGGCATCTTGCCAAATTCACAAGACATGCTAACAATAAATCCCACTGGCTATTAAAACATTGAAAAGTATTTCAAGAATTCTAATTTAGTGTGATGGATGGAAATCTAGACATTTTAGTAAGCATACTAATAAACAGAATACTATTATGAAATTACAGAAATAACTTTGTAAACTGCAGGGCTTTAATCCAAACCAAAAGTGAGTCATGCTGAAGTCCCACTGAAATTACACTGGAAGTTGAAGTGATGCTCAAGTGATGCTGCTGCCAAAAATAACAATCCAATTTCAGTTATCATATCCCCAGGGTAATATGTAGTTATGAACCTGAAGGATGTATCATCATGTCATGTGCTTTCCTGTTCCTGCTATGTATTACTAGAAGCCATAGAAGACAGGGAAATGTTTGGTAAGGCCATGTCATGTGTTTCTATACATACATGCCATGGAAGAGAGGAGGGGGAACTCAGCACAAGGTTCCCATTTTAAAGAGGGAATCAACTGAGTGATGATGCTGCTTTCTGCAACACTGCCCACTTGATTTTCCCCTTTTTGCCTGAAAAGCATCCCCTCCTGTTCCAGTGGTCCCCTCTGGAGCAGGAGGCAAGGATTCCCGACCCGTGTCCTCTCTACTGTGCTTCAAGGCAGGCATACTGCTGTGTAGCAGAGCACTGCTTCACAGCTGTGGCAAGTCAAACCCAGCTCACGATTGCACTATCAAAGCAAGGAGCCTCATTCCTCCTTAAAGTACTTCCTGGAGGTACTGAGGAGGAAGAAAATGGAGGGCAGGAGAGTTACCATAATTCTGATAGTCACTAGATACAACTGTCTCTGGATGTAGCCCTAGAAGTATTAGCAATGCTGTCATATTTCCATTTCTGCACTATACTCACAACCCCCCCCCTTTTCTCCTTTCAGGGCATCAAAGCATGAGGAACAACTAACCCTGGGTCACAAGACAGACAGCCTAGTAAAAGTATAATAACTTCTGATGTTGTATTTGCAGGGCTGTTGTATTACACAGCTGGATTATCTCTGACAATCCATTTAAATGTTATAAATTCTAGATGTGCTGATGAAAAGGCAATTGATTCATTGGTGTTTAATAAGCAATACTTACTTTAACTGTGGAACGGTCATGAAATGCAGAACTTCGGACATTGAAATTTCTCTCTCCAAATACAGAGCGCTGAACAGAAAGGCGTTCAAGTCCCTCCTACAGTATCATAGAGAGGACAATAAAGATTCCATCATTAACACACTGTCAAATGCAATGTCTTTTGAAAATTGCTGAGATAACACAAGAAACAGCTGCACGCAAACCTTCTCAGTAGACAATTTTATTGTAAGGAGACCATAATCTAAACAGAATAGTAAACATGCTTACAAAGCAAATTACTTCCTAGAATGAACAAGAGAAGCACTTGGATTGCTATGTAACAAAAGCCTCATTATACATCATATAAATAAAAGCACTAGTCTTCCAAATTTGCTGTAAGGACCTCAGATCAGTTACCCTATGGATAAAAATGTTTTAAAGGAGACTGAACTGTAAACATTATCTGGAAACAAATAGAAGGATAGAGCTATATGTTATACATACAAATGTTTAATCTAACAGAGTAAATAAGCTTTCCGGTTGATACATACATTCTCCTTATATGGGGATTACCAGTCTGTTAAAATGACTTATTCTTAAATGCACAATAATCATGACTTACTGATTTTCTAATATGTCACATGTATCTTGGATGTTCTAATTCTTCCACCTATTCCATCTGCTGAACTGACAATAAGGTATTATTCCCTCTGTTGTTAGTTCAGCGACAGAGGAAAACTGGCTGAAGTAAAAAATCAAAACAACCAACCAACCAACCAAAAATGTCATGGGTATATATGTGCATTAACTTGCATCTTATAAATTTAAGCTGTAATCTGATGCATTTTTACTTGGAAATAAAGCTCTTTGAGCACAATCCGGCTTATTTCTGGGTAAACATGCAGTTAGTAGATTTTAAGACAATTAGTGTATAAAAAAAGTAGCTCTTCCTCCAAAGTTCTTTCAAAGAGAGAATGATTATTTCTAACTCAAGGGCATGAACATTAGTCTATCTCAGGATATTTCACCTGAAATAAAACAGAGTTACAAGGATTTTCAAATAAACATGATTTGGAGCGGGGGTACTGGATTACTGCTGTAATCTGTGTCTGGTTACATTACTAAAGCATTTTTAGAATCAATGTATCCATGTTTCACTGAATATGCTTTCTATGGATAGCATCTCAGTATTTAAAGTGTACTCATGCCATATTTAAAATACCTGCATCCCTACATCTATTTTTCGCACTACTTTTACCCACCATGAAACTATGAATGACTGCAGCTTTCCAGGGTGCGCCTGTGTGCCATGCATTTAGCTGTCTCAAGTATGGTAATAAACATACACTGCAGAGTGAACCTAATGTGTGGATCAGCACATCCCAGTATGGAAAGGTTTTTGTGATAGAGAACAGACCTGAGATAATAGTTATTTTGCAATAATTAATACGGATCATTGTCTTTTGGCAATGCCCTCGTACAAAAGCTGTGCAAGAAGAATTCTTGCAAAGAATTTATTTTGTGAGTTGCATAAAGTTTTTTTAATAGATGTCTTGCAATACTTTTACATAAGCACAAATTTTAAACAGAGACTGAAATTTTATTCTGGTATTATATCTCCCCCTGTTGGATAAAATAACTCATTAAATAAATTTACATGGGAAAATTATGAGAAAAAGCAGAGAACCTTTCTTTTGTGTCCTTGTTTAATCTGTGTTTGTGAAACAGAGCAAGGCCTTTTATTAGCCATTTTTGCAGCTGACTGATGAACTAGCTGTCTGGATGGTGCTATGGAAGTCACAGAAACCTGGCTTTCCAAGGTTATCTGAGGCTTACTGTATGTGCAACTTCCCTGCTGGGCCTCCGATTGGATAACTTTGAGAAGTTCAATTTTTGTGTCAGGTGTTCCTTGTGCCAAACCAAAGTCGACCAGTGCATACCTAAAAGACAATTTAAAAACACATGAGTGCAAGTGATTAACAATGCTTTGACTAAGTGTTGTTATATTAGAACTCAGGCTGTTTTGCTCTTTGGCTGCTATCTTGAAGACATTAATGAAGGTTAAGCCTGACTGTGCTACAGCAGCTTTTAAAAGGACTCATTTGACTCCTATGTTTCAAACATTCTTAAAATTTAAATTGCATCTAATTTGGCTCCTTTTTCAACAAGGCAACTCCCTTCCTTTTGACAAGATGCATGCAAGAACAAGAACTGATTATGGGAAATTGTAATTTATCTATCACCTAAAGATTAGTTTCAGGACTGTATAATACAATGTACCTTAAAAGGGAATTTCCATTTTATTCTGTACAGTTTTTCCTTAGGAAATTAGTATTAAAGAAAAGCAGGAAGTAGTGACCCCTCAGCACAGGTTGCAGCAGGATACAGAGCAGTCTGTCTCCCACTGGCTAGAATCGGAATGGTTTATAGACAGTTGTATGTGTGAGGAACATGCACTTTGGGCAAAATTATACATCTGATGACAAAGGGCCAAAAGCCTTGTGACAAATGGCTGCAAAACTCTGAGTGCGGACCTATGAACACATGTATATATAAGGATGTGGTTTTCAGCAGAAAATCAGCATGTAGTGAACAGTATGCTTAACTCCTTCACTGCTTTCCTCCTGCAAACAGGATCTGGAAATTTGCAAGAGAAGTGGCAGTTCAACACCTCTTTTCACCAACCATCATTCTTTATCTGCTCCTTGCCAGCTGTTCATGGCCCTACATTTGCCACTGAATATCTAGTGCATTCATTACCTTTACCAAGTACAAGGTGCACAGCTGGACTTGGGGAAATAATTAAGTTTGTTACAGTTCAAGACACGTACTTCCATATAAGAACATAACAACACAAAACTTGGGCAGACTTACTCTTTTCGTTGCCTGTTGTACAAGAAGTTACTGGGCTTGACATCACGATGAACAATGCCAAAATGATGAATACGCTTCAAAGCTTTTAAGAGATTAAACATATAATCTCTTACTTCTTCAAAGGAGAGTTTATTCAAGATGTCCTGTAAGAATGGTACAATAAATAACCTTGCAATAACTTGCACTGAAGAGTTTAGGTATTTTAATAAAATGTTTGAAAACTCACCAAAAACGAATCATGCTCCAGATATGGCATAACAATAACCACATGATCATTTTTTCTAAAACAGCACTTAACTCCCATGACATTATCCTGTCCCCTACAAGAAAAAAGTGTTGTTCTTTTAGTTTATCTGCAGTGTTGCTGCTTTATTTATTTTTGATAAAAACAATGTTGTCAACATGTGAGCAATATCATATTTCTATTTGCTTTTCTTAATTCTCCTCTTTCAGACAAATCTCTGCATGTAAACAAGGGTCTGTTTCTGACATGTAGAAAACAGAATTATTTAAAAACAGAGTTATACCCAACACATATGTGGTAAATAATATATAGGACAGTATATACTTGACACTGAAAAAATGCAGCATGTGGTATTTGGTGTTCCAATTTTACAAAAGCTTTCATTTTCTGCTTTTTTAAAAGCAAGTGTCTTACCACAGGGCATTTTAACCATGAGACAAGATATGAATTACAATTAAACTAAAAATTGGGTTTATGAAAATAAGCTTAAAAAATCCATGAGCAATATGTGCTGTTTTTTTCCCTTGCAGTTGCGGTGAGACAATGAAGTGTCCCACTATAAATCTTTCTGCATTGTCATGACTAGCAGGAACAGAAAAAAATATATGCAAAGCTATTGATGATTTAAACTAAGCTGATGCTGCAAAAAATAAATGTTCAACACGTGCACAGACAATTAGGGGGCAGAATTTAGGTTAGATTATTTCAGCAGAGTTTGTTTTATATTTTAGGGCATAGTATATACAGTTTTGCCACTAAAGACCATGAACATAACTTCAGTGAAAATGTATGAATCATGTTTTTGATGTACCATGTGCACACCTATCCCTACTGATGCTTTATGCAATGTTCAATGGTAGTTACACTACGAGGTGAGCATTACTAGAGAGCTCTCATCAAACTGATCTTAATGTCATACATGAAAGCAATCTGAATATTAATATTACATACCCTGGACATTTAAGATTTTGTACATTTTTATTTCTGAACCTACCCTGCTGTTATAAGACACTGAAGTTCAGCTGCAATTCGGACAGGATGACTAGTAGGAATCAAGTGTTTCAGAGCTACTTTTTCTTCGTGCCCTCCTCGTAGTTGGGCTATGGCCAAGTAAACAGAACTAAATGTACCTGTAAAAAATTATTTCTTTTAGTACACGTTTAGCATTCCTTGGTTACAAGAATTAATGGTTAATTTTGCATTTTTATAAGAATCCCTCACTTCACAGGGTCACTAGTTTCATCAAGTTATGACTATATTACATAATCATGAGAGCAAGGGTATTTAGAGACAAAAATTTTTTAAAGGGAAACAGTAAGAAAAGAGTATTGTTTCAAGTGAATAGTTACAGCCATTTGACTAATTCGAAGTAGTCACTAAACATACAAACCACCTGAAAAAAAGGAACCATGCATCTGCTGTGTCGAGTATAACATGATTCTCAAGTGGGACAAATGCCTTATGAAAATCTTCAACAGGAGTAGATTAAGAGTAGCCTTTTATCGTAAAAAGCAATACAATATGGCAGCTGATCAGTCCATTTCACAACCTTGCAATGTTCAAAGTATTTGCCAAGGAAAAATACTACAGGCCAATATACAAAATTCCAAATTATACAAACTTTTTTGTTTTATTTGTTCAGAACTTTTATATTTCACCTTTCAGCATTACACTCCCAGGGAAGCTAAAACCCATGGTCTGAATGGCCTGTTGTGCATTCAGCTAACTGCCCCAATAAATTTAACAAGCAAATAGTTAGTACACAATGACAGGACACAAGTAGATACCGGGCAGCAACTGTTGTACCTAATTCTAAATCCTTCAAGCACCAAAGCCATCTATGTTCATCATTACTGTGGAGTCAATTTACTGTTTGTTTAAACAGCATTTAGGCTGATGGTCAGTATAGAAATTAAACATACATACAAACAAACTGGTCCTCACAGGTGAAAGAGTGTATCTGTTACTGAGTAGTTCCATTTTCAACTGTAAGGGTTAGAGTATCAATAAAAATTCTTGCATACAGGAAACTAGCATCCCAGAAAAAAAATATTTTGGCCAAGGACTCTCCCTGAGATGCTAATATTCAAAATCATGCAAGCCCCCAGCTGCAGATTGAGGTGGTACGATTCAGAGTCAGATTTACTACCTCACGTACAGCTTCTGAGTGCCATTCCTAAGACCAAGTTATTTATTCATTATTAAAATGTATATGTCTCTTATCTATGAATAAACCATTAAGGCAGCGTATAGCAATTAAAAACTATACTTTTTAAAAGGCTAATTTAAAAAGATGTATTCTATACCCTTTCTAAAGGTCAGCAGGAATATTAATTATTGAAGGATTACATTCCACAATTTGGAGGTAATGAAGGAGAAAACACCTTCAGGCATGCCTTACAAGCTAGCTTCTGTAGGTAATGGTTCTCTAAAAAGAGACCCTCCTGAACAACTTAAAACCTGGGCAGGTTCATAGTGCAGCCGGTGATATTTTAGCAAACCATTTAAGGTTTTAAAATGTAAGACCAGCAGCTTGAATTCAGCCCAAAAAGCAACTGGTCACTAGTGCAGGTCCTTCAGGAAAAGTGTTGTATGTATACTGTGCACTGGTTAGCAATCTAGCTGTTACATTTTGTATCAGCTGAAGGTTCTGACCAACCTTCAGGTACAGATTTGCAGAGTACACTCCAACAGTCTAAATGTGATATAACCAAGGTACGGACAACTATTATCATGTCAGCCAGACCTAGGAGAGATTGCAGCTGGCACATCAATTGGGCAAATGCATCCCTTGCTACAACTGCCTCCTAAAGATTTGGAGTTTAAGTTGAATCAAGGAACACTCTCAAGGACAATGCACCATGTGACCCCAATTACTGTTTGTAGTTTTTAAAATGCCAATAGATGGTTCTGAGGAGCATGGAGAATCAGACTCAGACTCCCTGTAGCACACAGGGAGATTTCTTCCTTTCTCCCCTGTTGCATTTCCCATAAAAAACAACCTTTCTAGAGGCAACTGCAAAGACAGCATGGAGAAATTTGTTCAACTATCCTCCCTGTGTGCCAAGGACCTGATCACTTTCACTGTTGCCTTTTAAAATAAGACAGGTTCATTGCAATCTCCCACTTAATATCACTTGGCTAATTTAACAGTAGATAAGAAATGGCTCTCAATGGCTACCTGACTGTTCCTCCAGTGTCATAGTAATGATGGCTATATACTGCTGACCCATCATACAGTATCATGCACACTATTTCTCTTAATACCAATTGCTAAGACTCTTTCGCAGGACAGCACTATTGTCCCACTTGCAGGGCAGCATATCCTGCAAGTGGGTTTCTCAGAGGCAATGCAGCCGAACACAGACTATCAGTAAATAATGCCAAACAGTAAAAGATTTTATTTTAAAAGCCTGGGGAAACCAACCCACTTCTCATTTAAGCACCATTTCAAAATACATAAATATAAATGGTAAAGCGTGCGTGTGTGTGTGTGTGTGTGTGTGTGTGTGTGTGTGTGGTGAGAGAGAGAGAGGAAGAGAATACATTTATCTATATTAAAAGAAATTCATAAAAGAAATTACACTAAGATGGACAGACATTTAGTAAATGTTCATAAAGAAATTTACCTTCACCGATTTTCCCCTTAACTTTGAATATATTTGCAAGTTGTGGCACTGCTTGATAAAGTCTTTCAATATCAGTACTTGCTCCTGTTAAGAAAGTTAAAAAATAAAATTTCCTCTTAACCTTAATTCTTGTAAAGTACTATTTTAATAGGGAATTTTAAATACTAGCACACACTCCATTCAAAATGATCCGTATGAATTCTGGCACTCAAAAAATATCTAGCTTTCACCTAAAAGAAATAAAATAATTATAACACTTGCAGTTCATATGCATTCTATAAGTCAGTATGTAATATTCTTGAGCAAGTTCTTGCAGAGGGGAGAAGTCTCTTTCTAGACAGTTGCAGATGCCATGGATTATTTGGATCCATTCCACTCTGGTTTTTGCCTGGTGGGACAAAAGCAGATGTGATCACCTCAGATGGGTGACTTATGCTAGGGAATGTATAGGGTGAGGTGGGGGGGGGTGTTGGTTTTCCTGGGCTTCTCAGCAACAGAGATGCTGTTCTAGGCCAGATCACTTTCCTTTTGAAAGCTCCCGTTTACCATGGAGAAGTCCTCCTGGAGTTGGAGCTATTTGAAAAAGCACACACGACTTTACTAGCTTTACTAGCTTTACTAGCTGGAGTGCCTTTTACTAGTTGAGGCTATTATGCCAGCTGTGACCCTATCTGGGTGCAGTGGATCATGTTTGAATTATTATTCAACTATTAGTTGCAACCAGACTAGATTACTACAAAATACCACATGTGGTTCTGCTTTTGAAGATAGTTCAGAAGCTTTAGCTAGTGCAGAATGTAGCAACCCAGACACTGTTGGGATAAGATATTTTAGGTATGTCGCATCGATTTTGTGCAGTCTGCTTCTGGGATCAATTCAAAAAGCTGGGCCTTTTTGCTTTTAAGATCATAAGCAGTTTGGGACCAGGTTACCACCTGCACCTATCCAAATCTGTCCCAAGATTTAACAACTGCTGAAGGGGTTCTGCTTGTTTTCCCTCTATTGGCAATAATTAAAACTCTCAAGACTTTTCTAAAATAATTTCAGGTCCCCTTTGCTTAGGAAGGTTTTTAATCTTACTTGCTGAGGTTATACCCTTTTATTGCTTGATTGGCAGGCTTGAATGTACACATGATACTTTTAAATTTTGTATTGTGTGTTATTTCTACTCCGTGTTCTAGACTGTTTTTTATTTTAAAAAGTGGCCTAGAACATAAGTAAACAAAGAAATAAAAAATGTGAGTGCATGCCAAGTGAAAATCTGTAATCAAATCTGTCCTACCAAAACTGCTCAAGGCACACACACTGCACCTCCCAACCATGTGGGAGATGAGGGAACAGGAAGCCTTCCACTTCTAAAAAGAAAAAAACATTCATATTGACACATTGCACTCTCAAACACACACTTACACTGAATTAATGCCAGTTAAGCGCAAATAGCACTTCACTCTTAGTAAACTAACCTACATGTACAGACAGAGAGAAGCATCATAACAAACTGATGGCAAGAGAACTGAATATTAATATCCACTGTTTCCTAACTCTCAAAAAGTACCACTAGCTAGCTATTTTCAAGCTTCATCAGTTTTGGCCATGTCCTGAAAAGCACCAGATGCATAATATACACTGCAATAATAACAAGCCTTGGGCTTGACAGAAAAGGGGTTCTTGTTTGTACCTGATCAGCATGCACATATGAGCTGAAAAAATAAATCAATGTTTTTTCCAAACATTATTTTAAGCACAGCATAAATATTAAATATTATAAATATTTTAATCTGTATTTCACTTTAGTTTTTTTAGCTGTTTGCAATCTGCCGAGAGAAAATCTGCTATCTGGCAAATTTCAAAATATAATAAATAAAATTTTGATAGATCAGTTTATATTAAAGATTGTATCACTTATGTATGCCACAAATAGAAAACTAATATACAAAGGATGCTAAGAGCCAGGTCCAGTAAATTATGAAACATTGTTTTCTAGATATAGACAAAAAAGAAGCTGTAAAGCAGAACAGTACATCAGGTTTATTTTATCACTTAGAGATGTTGAATGCAAAAGCTACTGTCTAAGAATTGAAACCTGATACTTTTCATAATCGTATCACTAGATGGCATAGCAAGGATGCTATATTGTTTTCTCCTGAAAAAATAAAGGCGACACAAACAAGGAACACTAGCTGTGTTAAAAAAAATGTTCTATGTTATATGCCTCAAAGAATATTTTGACCAGAGTCGCAAAAGCTTACAAAAACAGTTTAATCAATTTCTTTTAAACACTTTCATGCTACTTTACTATAGGCTGTTGTTACAACACCGACAAGGTTCAATATGCATAGAAATCCTACAAGTATGTGGTACCCATGGCTACTATTATGCTGGCAGACACCTGTTTTGGCACCAACCGGGCTCACTTCCTCTCCAGGTATTATAAAGATTGTTTTTAATTAAGCAAATAAAAATGAAATGTCAACCTTCAGCATCATCTTTATTTCTAGTAATGGTTCTGGGTCCCACATAGGTAGAGGCATTCTTAGAACATGGTGGCTACAGTCCACTGCTTCATTTTGAACTGTCCCTGGCTACCCAGAAAAATAAAAAGACTAGTGGGATGAGTGGATAAGGGAAAATCCTGGGGGAATAATAAATGTTGAAACTCAGATGGTAATTCCCTCGAGGAAGTAAGTAGGAGTTTAATTATTGGCCATGCTGATCATGGCAGCCATTTTGTGGATGAGAACCCCCCCCCCATCATAGTAATTATTTTGTGTGAGTGACTATGACCCTCTCTCAAAATTCCAAATGTTCTTACCATCCCCCAAAAGGCTTGTGAATCTTGATATAACAGATATAAAGGAAAAAAATGAGTCAAATTTGAAGTTTAATCTGGGTCACAGTAGGCTATTTCTTATGAAGTTCCTTCATGTTCGAATACTGTATAAAATCAATACATTTAAGCAAGTGTTCCCATTCTGGGATTGAATATGTTGTAATGCACTGCTCTTTTCTACAGCAAATGTATTTTTATAAGTCAGGGCAATCATGATCCCTAATCAAACAGGTAATCTGGCAGGTGGATGAAGCTTTGCCAACAGCAGCCCCACACATTTATAACGCTGTCACCAGGGATATACCTATGACATCATTGTTGTTTGTGCTTTAAAATAAATGATAAAACACATTTATTTCCATCTGCTTATGTACTTAAAATAGCTGCTCTTTTGTTTAAATTGTATTTTTATATGTTAATCTTATACATCACCATGTGACTGCAGTAAACCTTGAAAGACAGGTCAAACATGTTATAAATAAATCATAAATGTATCCCCCGATGCCGGACATACTCTTTCCTCAACTGCATCCCTTCTAAGGTAGTTTATTCAATTACCTGAAACAAGACCCACAAGATACTTTCAAATTTCTCTCTTGTACACATGCTATCATTTGCAGGCCACCAAAAACACATGCAATCCACAAATAACATCCCCCAAAATGCAAGTCAACACTGACAGTCCAGGATCCAAAGAGCTATGAACCTACTTCTATTATGTGGAATGGAACTGCCAGGAATGGATTTCATACAAGGTGAATAAATCTCAATGATTTTTTTAAAAAAATTAAAAATCAGGTTTTAAACATTTAAATCAATTTTTAAGATTTAAATTCTTTTGTATTTTAATTGGATTTTTAAATAAAATGCTTTTTGAGGAAAATCTATCTAAAGATAGTTTTCTATTTAAGATGTATTATAGTCCAAAGGTTATTCATCAAGAAATAAGGATTAGTTTTTAATTACGTTGCATTAGGCTGTATATTCATGCAATATTTACATTTTTTGGTAAATGAATTCTATTAATCCATTCACAATGGCATGCTCTCCCGGAGGGTTCACAGAAGTTTGATTATACATTCTCAAAACTGAATTTGAGTCTGCAGAGATCACATGCCTCTTTTTCTCAGCAAAAATGTTATAAAATCATATATAAACCTATATAACATCCCATTGTTCCTTTGCAAATCTATGTACACAGAATCTAATCCTTACCTCTTAAGTACTACATTTAAAAATGAATAGAAGATTGTTGGGAGTGGAATAAATCTGCACAAGGAACTAAGTGTGCATAGTAAGGGGCAAGCAGTAGAAATGAAAGTGAAACCTTTTGAGCAGAATAAAATCTTTGAATCTTTTTGTGTATAGCCTGAGGTTTATCATATTATTCTTTCCCTGAAGGAGAAAATCTATAATGGCAACAGGTCATAAGAGACCCAGTTTGGCAATATTTTAATAAAGTTCCTCTTCCTACCAATAAGGCAGGCATGTGTGCAAATTATATAGAAAACCACAATTTAAATCGAGTCTTACTGACTAGTGACTTAAATTGTGATTGAAATCAAATCCAGCCTGATTTCATATCTTAAGTCCAAAGGTCTCCAAACAGCACCATAACAATCAGGCTTTGCAACACAATGTGAAGCATGGCACCTGCCACAGTTCGAACATGCCAGCTAGCTTCCTTTTTCCAGAGGCACTTTGAATAATTAAGATGCCAAGAGCTGCTAAAGCCTTGGTAGTCACTTTTCTGCATGTGTGCCTAGTATCAACCCAGAGAAAAGAAAAAAGGGCTTCTTCTTGCCAATGCCTGACAAGATAGGAGCAAGCAGAGCAGTTCATGAGGGGGTGAAAGAAGCAAAGAAGTTCACAGGAAAGGATTTTAAAAAATCTCCTGTGGGTGAAACATATGGCTGGTGGTTGAGGCCACAGATTTCCTTGGTGGGCCCTGTTTCTCCCTAAATAAAGCACTTTGAAGAGAGTGTCTTCTTCAATGTTCTTGTAAGCTTCAGCTATCAAAGGAAGCAAGTTAACAGAAGGATAGGGCATTCTGCATATAAGCTAATTTGCACAGCTGCTGAACTGTCAACTAAAAATCACCAGGAAAGAGGAAAGGCGTGGGTGCAATGAAGGAAATGGTGGAAAGACAAGTAAGGGGATTAGTAATGTAATCCGCACAGTTTCAACTATTGAACAGACAATTCTAGTGTCTTCCACATAGAAATTTCCCTTTCATTTACTTCCCAGTCATTTTCACCAATTCAAAACAGCTAAAAAACACAACTTAAGAGATTACAGAATAGGACAGAGCAAATAGGATGCCACCATCAGTAGGATTTACAGCTTCCCCTGCAACAAAGTGGCTCCATTCTCTGTTCCATTCAATCACCTTCTCAGGATTTGTTTTTTAAAAGAATGTCAGGGAACCACAGTAACTACAGTAGTAAGTACTCAGAAAAAAGAGATGTAAAAAAGGGGTGTGCATTAGTATCTTCCTTCTGGAGTAGCTGAAGATCTAGAGAAGTGTTAAAAATGCAAACAGCACTGAGAAATGGCAGTTTAACACTTGAAATTGAGAAGACTACATCACTAAGATGTCACTGTGGGGATGGCATGGATAAGATTGTAAAGTCTGGCATGGATGAAATTGCTTCCTACAATCCCATGCCCAAAAGTGGCATAGATGGTATTGTTCCCTACAGGTCATAGTGTAATTGGTCTATCATGTTTAGATGACATGACAACTGGGTCACAGGTCCTAGAACCCTTAGAACAAACCACAGGTTCTTAGAGTGGTTTATTGCTGAAAAATATGCCACCCTGCAGTAAGTGGCTTGTTACTGTCAGGTCAAACACACCCAGTTATTCTATGCTATAGCATACACCAGCTCATTCTTACCTCCAACAAAATGTGAATCATTTTTATTTTAAAAGGATCTAATCATTACTATACATATCATGATGCAATTGTGAAGAATCCCCCAAAAAGAAAAAGGATGCAATAATAAGAATTTGAAGGATAATGGGCTGTGTTAAATACATACCTGACACCTTCTTGTTATGATCATATTTCTTACAGGAGTCTTCACAATGTAAGGGAGAATGTTCATCCTGATGAGCTGCCTCCATCACAGAACTTCCTGAAGGCAAAAAAAGCAAGTCTGTGAGAACTAATGGTGAAATATTTTCAAAGTACGTGCACTGGTTTTCCAGAACAAATTTGGCTTAAACAAATCCTTTCCCTCAACCTCTGTACACACAGCAAGAATACAACACCATAATGCTGTTTCACATATGAGAAATGGAACCAGTGTGGAGCTGAGGAGTGTACAAATAAATGCAATTCAGCCTGTACAATATAGTCTGATGCTACGCACTGAAGAGACTTTATTCCAAAGTATGTGCCCTAAGGATTGCAGTTTTAAATTAGTCTGTACAGCATAGGGGAAAACAGTTAAGAGTGGTCCTAATTAACAAAATTCAGTAAAATAAAACTGAGGGAATGGAATGCATAAGGATCTTGCTGGATTGCCCTTCATTCATTCACTTTCTGTATAGTACCTGAAGTGCATTACATATAGGCAGAGTACTAGCCAGGCCAAATTAAAACTTATTTTGATTTGCAAGGCTATACAGTACTGAGGTAGTTTTCGGGGACAGCAAAGAGTTGGAGGTGTTTTATTGTGGGAGAAACAGGCCCCAGCCAGGGAGCCTCTGGCCTCGGCCACGCGTTCCACCCGCGGATTTTTATTTTTGCGGCCGGGAGTAAAGGGGAGGGGGGTGGCGGTCGAATAAGTGGTAGACGGACGAGGAGGCATTGATTTGCTCTTATTTTCCCGGCTCCATTTTTAAAAAGCGTCTCACTCGCCCGACGCGACCGCCCGCCTCAGTGGCGGGAAAGCAGCGTCCCAACTGGCCTCATTTGCAGGAAGTCGCGTCGGCTGAGGCGCTTTTTTAAAAAGTATGTATGGGAACGAAGAAACCCTCCCTCCTCCCCGCAACAACCCTCACCTAGCGAGGGGCGAATTTCTTCCTCCCTTCCTCCTCCGCGCCCGCAATGCTCAATGAATACGCTCCAACCTCCTGCGGGCGCACGGTTGGCGGCGGCGGCGGCGGCGCCGGGTTCAAGAAGGCACGGCGGGCCGGGGAGGAGTTGGGCGGGCTCGGCAAAGCAGAGAGCAGCGCACATGACGGGAGCACGCCGCGAATAATTGGCTGGCTGAGCGAAGGAGGAGTCCTTCGAGGGGTGCTGAGCAGGAGGGAAAGTGCTTAAAAACTTAAAGGGGCGGTGTAGGTTGTTTCGGACTGAGATCTGCCGGTCTAAACGTGCATCGAGTTGCTTCCATGGTCACAAGCCTTTTCACCATGGGGCTGGGGGACGCAGGTCGAAGCCACTGCCTTTAGTGGCTTTCTACTGGCAGAGGGAAGCCCTGGCCCGTATCTTTTAAAACTTTTAAAGACTTAGAGTACCCGACCAGGCTTAAGAGGCACTGCCACCGTTGTTGGGCATCGTTTGCAGCAACGAGGCAACAAGAAATGCTGTCAATTGCACCATTTACAGATAAGATTCTATAGGGGCTGACACTGCTTGTTCCAGGACCCCAAAAGTTACTACCGTTTAATTGCGTTACTCTCTGTTTATTGTGTTCTTGTCAAATAATCCGTTTAAAGATTGGGCTGGGCTAAAGGGATGCTAGCATGAACAGAAGGCGCTGCTATTAATGCAAAAAGGATGGGAGGGAAGGTCCTTCTGGAATTTCCACTCTCTGGGATCCACATGCTATTCTTCCAAGGCTCAGGAGTAAGTAGCCTTTGGGGTGAGGGAGGAGAGAACAGGAAAAGTCCTATTCTGCTTGCATTTGCAATTGTTAGGTTATAACTCATTAAAACCTGTGTTGCAGCGGGGAACCTGTACCCCCCTAGATACTGTTGGCCTGCAACCCCCCATAATCTCTGTACAGTGCTCATGCTGGCTGGAACTGATGGGAGCGAACTGCATACAACAGACTACAGGTCCCCACCCCACACTCCTAGAAATACTGAAAAAGAAACCTGTTACACAGTTATAAGAATGTGGTTCCTTCCACACATAGCCTACACAGATTTTAGTGGCAATCATTAAAATTATATAACAATTGCTTTGTTTTGACACATGCTGGCAAACGGAACAGTCAAACAGTACAGGAACATGTTACTGTGATTTTTTTCTGAATGTCTTTATATAATGGTTGGATATATTTTCACCAGAAATGAAATTAAAATGTCACTTTGCATTATCTTTGATAGAAGAAAGTGGCATATAGATTTTGTAAAATAAAAATTTCCAGAATTGTATTTATATCTATTGAGATGTTATTCTGCCTTTTAATGTGTTACCTGCCAAAGGCAGCTTTCAGAACAATTGGCTAAATAGCAATAGAAGAGTAGAAACCTTCCCGAGATGCCAGTAATTGGACAGGTTATAAAAGCCTTAAATAAATAAATAAAGTTTTTAAAACCCTTTAAAGCTACAGTCCTATACGCATCCTATCTGCTTAACTGGGTGAGACTGAGCAGAAGTGTATAGGATTGCACTGTAAGTTTCAGTATAAAAATGCAGCAGATAGACCCAATATTAAAGCACAACTATAAAATCACAGAGAAAAGATTAGTAGATTAAAATTGAAAAAAAAAAGATTAGAATAAGGGATGCCAAGTATTCAAGATTCTTTTAGAGAATAAAAAACTACATGTCACCACATACTTTTTATATCCAGTTGTCCAAATTAAGTATCTTGCACAAGATGCTCTCTAGTCCCTCTGGCCTAAAAGGAACACAATAAATACTGTGTCAGTGGGCCTATGTTGCAACTATGTAAATAATTACTATGGGACAGTTTTCTATCTCCATGTCTGGACTCTGCCTGTTAGTGTTCCTGCTTCTCAGGCTAAGCTCTTTCCACTGTGATGTAAAAATACTACTATTAATAAAATGAAGGAAGTCCCCAGAAAAAGCTACATGCAGACTGTATAATTCATCTCGATTTAGCATAAAACAGAGCACCAAAGCTATTCACATTTCATCCTCTTTCCAACATTAACTGAATACCATGAAGTGGAGAAGGAAAAGGAGAGGGACATATATACGTGCCTAGCACCCACAGATGTGGGCTTGGGTTAGGCTGGGCTACCACAGAAGACTTTAATTTAAATGAAGAGAGACAAATCTATTGTAAAATAGTCTGTTCTTTGTTTGTGGCAAGTGCCTGATGATTAGAAGAGACCATTCTGGAGCACAGACAAATGGAGAAAAAAAGCAATTGAGACTCTTCCAAGGGAGAAAGGCATTTACAGTTTACTGTAATCTGAAGAACTTGAAAACAGCAGTCTATCTCCAGCCCATTATCTTATCCCCAACAGCAACTAATTCCCTATATTTTAGAAGAAGCACATTATAAGTACAGGACACTGTTGACATACTCCATTCCTTGTGCTGAGGTATCTCAGTCTCATACTAATGGATAATCAAATGTATTTTTGCAACTAGTATTAAAATTTTCTTGATCCTGCGTAATGGTTATCTCAGGTAGCAGATGAGGAAATAAAAATTCTATTACCTGTCATTCTGTCCACAGTTCAAAGCCATCCCACAACATTTGGGAAGAACTGCTACAGCTATTGGGTAGATTTTATGTAATGATTTGATGCTAAGTTGAGATAGTAGTTGTCAAATGCTTACATCACAAAGGACATTATTTTAACTGTTTAAAAATGATGAATGGGTTACTCTTTCAACCAAGGACTGGTTTTTGAAATGAAAACTAAACTGTTGGGGAAATGCCTTTGTATAACATAAACATATGCCTATTTTCTCAGAAGCAAAGACTGACAGCTGGAACAGGTAACTGAAGACTTGACAACTCAAATGAGGCTTGTATTGACAGAACTGTCCTTTAACACAGTGTTGCATTGAAGTCAGTAGTTTCATTATTTCAGAGAAAAAAATATTAAGTCTTCACTAAGTCTCCAGTAGAGATTCAATGAATGACAAGAATATTGTACAAAAATATGCTATATAAGTATTGAATTGCTTTTGAAAAGAATTTGAAGTAAAATCTTTAAAAAATTAAAATCCTTATATATCTGTCTTATATTCATACTGTACATGGGATTAGATATCAAGGCCCTATTTTGTTACAGTTTGAACAATTCGGTATCTGCAGTTAAGTCTGTGACATTTATTTTCTCATTTCCTATTGCTGGACAAACCTACCCATCTATTACAGCTCAAAATGTGGAAATCATAGTTCCATGATCATTGTCTGAGTTCCATCAAGTCATTGGTCTGGAGAGAAGAATAACATCTGGGGCTTGTCAGAGCAGGTTAACTTTACAAGGTAGCTCCTTGTAGCAAGACTCCTGGTCAAATACAAGCCTTCCACTGCATTTAAACTGAAGGTTGCAAGCATAAATATTAAAAAACCAAACACAAGGTACCTTAAACTTTGTCTTTTGTTTGAACATGATGTGAAACTATTTCTAAAAGCACTGAACAGAATGCCATTCAGCATATGGAGTACCAGATACTTTATGTGCACATTTTCTTATGCAAATTATTTCAGATTTACATCCTAATCCTAAACACATTTAGTATACATTTAATTTGTTCAGCCATTAGTCATAAAGTTCATATACAATGTATAGTGGTTTAAGAATCTCCAAACTGAAATATATGTTGATCTGGTGCACCAAGTCCATATGGAGTTGTCCAAAGCAAAGATTATTTACATTCCTTTTAGTAAGAAGACAATATATTGATTTGAAAATGTAACCAGTATCTGCAATTTTTATTTTCCTTTTTAGGCCATTTATCCCATACATATTGAGATAAATAATGTGCAGAAAATAATGTAAAAATTCTTAACCTCTTCAATGATTTCCACAGAAACAAAATTGCAACTTACATGGAATGTTTTAATTTCTACCCTCTAATACAACGACTTTTAACTGCCATTTGTGTATAGTATAGTATCCAGAGTAGAATTTTATTTACATTTTTATGCAATCTTTCAAGGTATTTCTATTAGCCCAGTCATAATAGAAGATATACTGAAAGTCCCAGTGATTCAGTTTGTAGGTAATAGTAAGCCAAAAATATGTTTGAAGACCATGTAGCTGGCTGGCTTCACAAACTGTGGGAGTGAACTAACAAGCCATGATTTTGCACTTAACTTTCTTGTAACACGCTAACTAGGAACTATGGTTAAGTGTGCTTGCAAACAGGACAAGGATTGAAAACTAACTGGCTGTTCTGGTTTAAAGATGGTTACTGATCCTGGCCTGTTTTCAAGCATGTAACCATAGTTTCAGGTTCATATGTCCTAGGAATTTGTGGTTAACTGCTAAATCCTAGTTTATTTTGCCATTTGCAAGAGAGAAAGAATGAAGTGCTGGGAAAGGGCTGCATGTGGGATGCTTGCTATGCATAAATATATAGCTTTAAAAACCCAGGATTTTTGGCTGAGTAATATATATGAACACTGCTCAGGATAATAAAATTTACTTCCATGCAGAGTAGCATCCTTTCTTTAAGACTCAGTGATAGACTTTTTAAAGTTTTAATGCACATTTAGAAACGAATTAACCCATGGTGGTATTATTAATGCACATTTAGAAATGAATTAACCCATGATGGTAAGATTCTGTTAACAAATAAAAATACACCAAAATACATTCCCAATTCTCTTATTTTGTAATAATGTAACTGAAGTAAATGGAGGTATTGTAGAACTACTAGCTGGAATAAAGTATTTAGATTGATATAGCATATTGATTATATGAAATAAAATATCTATTACTTGTCTATATCTACTGCACTTTACAAAATATAGGAGAATAAGCTTTCCCAGGGAGCTTACAGACTAAACTTTTTAAGAGGAGACAGCAGAGAAAGAGGAAAAATAGGGAGGTGGGGGAACAAGAAGAAAAGGCTTTTTTCAATCACATGTACTTTGGCTTAGATTTAGTACAGTATGGGGGACTAAATGGTTTATATGTCATCCTCCAGTGCCTCTCCTGTGCTTTGTAACCATTTAGGCAGC